AGGGGGCTCGCACGCCTCCTCTCTGTACGCACAGGTGCTTGAGGTCTGTCCGACCTTCTCAGCCAGTCCATCCCCCTTGTGCCGATGAGCAAATGGATGCACACTGAATGACAGAGCCGAGACTCGGGGATCCTGTGTCCTGGTCCTGAGTTTCCCTTTGAGAACTCAGTGTCTAGGTGCATCCATTGCCCTTGGTACGGGGACCTGCAGAAGGGACTCCCCGGCCCCGGAAAGCCTCCCCGGGAAGCACACTCGGCTGCCCAGTCCAGACAGCAGGGTGGCTGCCAGTGTTCCCTGGCCCCCGGCAAATTCCTTCCCAGGAAGGTGGGTGGAGGCAGAGATGAAGGCCTGGGAAATCAGGAGTGCTGACCCAGGCTGTTGCAGAACAGGAGAGATGATGCAGTTTGGGGTTTAAAGGCCCCTTTCAGAAACAATACAGGCTCCTGAGGCTGGTCCAAGTGGCAGCAGAGGCCCATCTCCCCTTGAGGCAGCTCAGAAAGAGGCCGCACCCCTGCTCCTCACCATACGGATAACTCACAGCCACCTCCCTGTTCTGTCCTCAGCCATCCACGTCATCTGTCACTTCCGATGAGAAGGTGGACTACGTTCAAGTGGACAAGGAGAAAACCCAGGCCCTGCAGAACACCATGCAGGAGTGGACAGATGTGCGGCAGTCCTCGGAGCCTTCCAAGGGTGCTAAGCTGTGACGCAGGGGCCACCACGCCTGGGGAGGTGCCCAGAGGCAGCATCTCCAGAGCTGGCTCCTCCCCTCGGTCCCCCCCCACACACACATTTTCTCCTCTTCCAGTGCCCCCTCCTGCCACTCTGGCCTTCAAAGCACTTGATGTCAGGGACCCTGAACCCTTCTGAGAGGTAAGGGCCTGATGGAGGCCCACCCTCTGCCCACTCGGGGCCCACCTTTGATTTGTATCAGTAACGGCCATGCCTCTATCCATCTTAGTTAGAGCTGTTGCCAAAAAGCATCCTTCAGCCTCTTTCTGTCCTTCAGACCCGAATATCTACTAGGCTTTGGGAGGGGCTGGGGCTCTGAGCCAGATTCCACACCTCACTTCCGGTCATAGCCCTCAAGCCCTCTTCCCTCCAGCTCCTGGGCTACCTCTCCTTCAGTCCCAGAAGATGCCACGTTGTCTCACTGATCCAGGGAGCCCAGGACCAGCAGACCAAAGTGGACAGGGACTTCTTCATCCTTGTGTTTCTTGGTAGAGGAGAGGCATGGCCCCCCAGAAGATGGAGTTGAGAAGGAAGGTTAGCAGTGGTCTTGAGGGACACAGGAAGGAGGTCCCCGATGCAGAAGGCAGGTGATCTGGGCAGTGGCCCCGCCACTGTGTAGCCGTGGTGGGTTCGGAGAGGCAGGAGGAGGAAGGAGGACGCAAGGGAGGGAAAACAGAGGAGGATGGGCAACCACAAACCAGGAGCAGGGGGTGACCAGGATCCCATGGGGTCAGGGCCCCTAGAACCGTGGAGCATACAGGCCCTCCTCCGGGGGCGCACCCCGCCAGAGGGGACAGTGCTGGGTGCTGCAGGGTGCCAGCGGAGGCTGGTGCTGAGGGAAGGCAGTGCAGGGTGGGGAGGGAGCGTGGGGCGGACGGGAGGTGCTGTAGCGGGGAGAGTGCAGCAAGTGTGTCTCTGCAAGACAGGTGGTGGGGGGCGGGCAGATAACCAGTGGGCTGAGAGGCCGTGTACAGACCTTGGAGGCAGACAGTGCGGCCGGGGGCAGGCGGGGGGGGCGGGGGGGCAAGCCGGGGCAGCTCCTGGGGCTGCAGGCCTGAGCGGAAGTGAAGGAGCCCTGTGAGGGACGTGGGGAAAGCAGTGCAGGGGACCGTGGGGCCAAGAGGACGTGGGGGAGGGCTGGGGCTTCTGCCAGGGCCCAGGCCGGTAGGAGTGTGGTCGCGGGAGCCCCTGGTGTTTTCCCAGCTCATCTTCCAGCGGCCGCTCCCTGGAGGCCCGGAGCCACGTTAGCCTCAGACCTGATCCCTGGGACAGGAGAGGCCAGGCCTCTGCTCCCATGGCTTGGAAGGCCGCCCCATGAGCTGCGCCCTCCCCCACCAGGCACTTTGTCCTAAGCTGGGGAGGAGAGATCCGAATCTTTTGTGTTGATGGTTCTTGCCCAAATCATCTAGGGTTGCAGAGGTCTCATCCCACCCTGGGGTAACAGACCACCTTCCTTTGAAAAAAAATACTTGCCACCGTGGCTGACGGAGGTGGCTACAGCTCACCTTCGGGCTCCCGCGAGCACATGCCTGGCCAGTCTCAGAAGCCCCACTCCAGTCGGGAGGATTTTCTCCGCAGTAGCCCCTCTCCTAGCAGTTCAACTCCACGAGCATTGATTCTGGGACGGCGGAATTAACCAGTGTGTCCCCGCACTGGAGGCAGGGGTGGGTGGAGACACAAGGGCACAGGACCTAGGTGAGGGCCGCGAGAGAGACTGGAAGCAAGGCTGCTGCTTCAGGAGGTTGGTGCAGATCAGAGGAAGGTGGTATCTGGCAGAAAGGGGGTGGTGCTGAGATGGGCTTGAGGGGCCGGAAGATGGAGTGGATTTCTAGGCAAGGAGGCCAGGGCTGGGGTCCAGTCACCCTAGAGCGCTGGGGCTGATGGCAGTGGCTGACACTGGGTCCCTTTAAGGCCCTCTGCAGGGTCTCGTAGGGCCGAGCTTTGAGGGGTGCTGCCCTGTGCCCCCAGCCCATGTGTGTGCTGAGTCAGCACGAGGTGAATGAAGTGTTCAACTCTACTGTCCAAGGAGGCCTCCTTCCAGCTCTTGGTTCCTGCAGCTCCCAAGCCCTCAGGGTGGCGGTGGAGACAGACGGAAGTGTTAAGAGGACACTGGCCTGTTGAGGGCAGAGACTCGGGCTCACGGGCTTCAAATGACCGGTGTCTCGTACACACCTGACAGTTCAGTGGCCTGGCAAGGGCAGACCCAGGACTCCCGGTGCCCGGGCCAGCAGCACCAAGTGGCAGCGAGGGAGGGAGGGTTCCAGGGAGATGGGCTAATAAGCAAGGTCCCAGGGAGCCACCACCTGTGAAGGGGTGGTTCGCTTAGATGGTGGCTGAGGCCCTTCCATGCTGAAGCTGAGCTGTCTCTCTCTGGAGGGCCTGGCTCACTAGGGACGGGCAGCACCCAGAGCATTAGTCAGGGAGCCCAGTCCCCTCCCCGGGATGGACTTCGGAGACTTCTACATTTGAAACCCTTCAAACATGCCCCATTCCTAGGAGAGAAGCACAACCCTTCCCCTTCCGAAGTGAGTGGAGCAAGGGCTTGCCCCAAGCCCCGGCTGACCCACCCTCCCCACGGCTGACCCACCCTCCCCACGCCCTTCTGACAAAAGCTCTGGATGCAGTTCGCACTCGTCCGCAACCCGTGAGGGAAGCAAGGCTGGGCCCAGGAGCGCTGCAGCTCCCTCCTCCGGGAGCCAACATTCTGGGACTTTCCAAGCTCCTTGGGCTGCCTGCGGAGGGGCCCCTTCGAGGTGCAGGCTGTCCTGTGATAGTTGGTGGTGTGTATTCTTGTGTGTTGGTTACACGTGTCTTGAAATTTAGAATCATTTCGCACAGAATTGTCGGGAAGAGAAAAGGGGCTAGCAGCCCAGTCTTAGGTTCTTGCCCTGTTATACCATTTAAAATTGACATTTAATTTTTCAAATCACTGTTGGTGCCTAATCACTTAAGTTATTAATTTATTCTGTTTTCTTTTAAAAAAAATGTAACGTATTTATCCTGTTGAGTAGGTCTGGGGTGGGGTGGGAACGTGTTCCGGTGGGTCCGGTTTTTGCTGTGGTGACACTCGGCACAGGCCTGGAGCTTGTAGGGCCCTTTTTACTGTGGTGGTGGAGCAGGACAATAAAGTCCGTTAGAAGCAACCAGAGAAGGCTGCTGGAGCCTGCCTCGTCTGAAGGCGCCGGGGAGGGACCCCACCTGCACAGACTCCCTGCTGGGGGGCCACCCACATGGAGGCCCAGACACATCTCTGTCAGGGCCCCCAGAACGCTCGGTGCCAGTCTGCTCCCTTTCATTTTAATAGGAAGTAACGGGGCCCTTGTCTTGACCCGGAACAAGAATGACTCCTCCCTACCTTGGAATGTGTGTTCCTGATTCCACCCTTTGGCCTTAGAAGGTGCACGGAGTGTGCAGACGAACTCTGAGACTACCAGCCCAGTGTCACTGATCCCTAAGGTTTGATGTCCCAAGGGTCTGGACACTTGGGCCAAAACTCAACTCCTCCACCTACAACAAACACTGGCAGGCGGCCGTGGTGGCCCTCGCGGCCCCTGGCCATGCGGCAGCCTCTGTCCCTGCCTTCCCACCTACTTCGTTCCCCCAGATGGGCAGGGTTGGGGTGGAAAGGGCTCCCGTGTGACCTCTCCAGCTCCAAGAATGGGCTGGCACCTGGGGAGATGATGGGGGGCTGCCTCCCCGCTTTCCTCCTGGCAGGTGCCCGAGTCCGTCCCGGGAGGGGCCGCACGCCTGCACCAGGTTCTCCCAGGGAAGGGCTGGGGTGGGGGAGAACGGGGGAGCAGTGGCAGCGAGTTGTGGGCAGTCCGGGGTTCTCGGCGTCTGAAAAATCCCCAGATACGGGGGCTCTGGCTTCACCCGACAGGCGAGTCCCCCTGACTGACAGGAGCCCCTCAGGGTACTGAGCCTGTCCTCCTCCCTGCCGGCGCCGGCCTCTGGGGAACGGCCCCACTGCTGGGCCAGCTCTACCCTCGGGGTCCTCCCAGTCCTCACCCTGCACTTGCTGGCGCTTCAGGGTAGCACACTGTCCCCTCCCGTGGGGCGTCACACGAGCCAACAGGGCACACGCTGTACCCTGCTCACAGCCCAGACAGCAAGAAGCAAAGGGACGGCCGCCGCCACAGCCGCGGGGGCAGAAAGAACGACATCTTTACAGGCTTCAGAGAACCTACTTTATTCCCGTTGGGGTCTCCTCTCTCCGTCCGGGCACACTGACGCCCATAGCTGCTCCTCACCACCCCCCCACCCCCCCCGCGCCCAGGCCACGGCTTGAATGCCACAGAGGAGGAGCTGAGCCAGCCAGCTCTCCTCCGGTCCGACGACGGCTTCATGAGAAACACAAACATAGTTGCGGTAAAGTAAGGATTCTCTCGCTCAACCAGAAAGGGGATGCAAATGGCGGCATCTCAGGCACTGAGGCAGGCTGGGGAGATGGGGTTTGGGGAGGAAGGGTCTCCCGCTGTGGGGGGAGGGGGCTGTCCTGCCCCCTCTGCACTGACAGTCTCTGCCCCCGCGCCAGGCTGCTTCCCACCTACACTCCCCTCAAGTACCAGGGGCGCAGGCAGCCACACCGTGTGCCTCTGAAAGCCCTCAGAGCCCGGAAGGGGCCGCGGGGACACACACGCCCCAGACCCTGCTCTGCTGCTCGTGCTACAGAGCGATAGGATGGTCTGAAAGGAGCGAGGAGGGAAATGCTACTTGATGGCAAAGCACTAGAGCTGTGAATCAGCCCCGTCACGTAGCCTGCTGGGGGGGACGGGGGGACAAGGCCCAGAGTGTCCATCTAAGCTGCTTCAAGTTGACCAGGACACTGGGGTGAGAAATCTGAATGGGGCTGATCCCAGTGTCAGGGGCTTGGCTCTCACCTCTGTATCTGAGTCTCTGCACACCCTTCAGGCTGAGGACCCGTGTCCCAGAAGCTTCCTCTCCACCTTTCCTGCCCTTGGAAGGGCCTGTCCTAGGGGCTGGACCTGCCTCCACAGCCTCCACAGCTTCCCTCAGCCCCCACCTGGCAGAGCGCCTTGGCCTCGGTCCCCACCCGGTTCCCAGAAGGAAAGGGTCAAGGCCTCCCCTGCAGTGAGCTGTGGGGCCCCCGCAGCTGGGAGCAGCCTGGGCTGGGTCCACACTAGAAGACCAGTCTGTGGAAGTCACCGCCACTGCCACCTGCAGGACTGCAGCCTCCCGGAGAGCCTTCGTCCTCATCCTTGTCTTCATCGAAGCCCCTGCCCCAGTGCGGAGATGCAGGGAGCGCAGAGATGTAGGCCGCCCTGCTGCGGGCCTCCTTCTCCTGCTCCTGGGAACACAGATGCGGGTGGGGAAGGAGGCTTAAAACGCAGGCTCTGAAGCCAGAGTCTTCCTTCACTGTTCCCCCAGCCCCACCCCAGTGCCGTCCGGCACAGCATTTCTGAGTGTCTCCAACGTGCCCAAGGGCCAAGCACAGAGAAGCCTCAGCTCCTGCCCGCGGGGTGTTCCAGCTCCACAGGAGAATGGCTGGGATGGATCCATCCTTCCACCCTCGATCTAGGCTTCAAAACCACTCTTCTCCCAGTAAAAACTCCTAGCCCCTTGGAAAAAAGGAACTCCTTCACACAAGGCTGAGTAACTGATGAGGGCCTGCCATGGCCCCAGGGAGAAGGAGGTGCAGGGACTCCAAGGATCACGTCACAGCACACAGGGTCCCCCCTGCTGTCCTGACACGGCTGTCCAGCTCACTGCCCCTCAAGGCACGAGGAACGTGCCTCCTCAGGCCGAACGGAGGCCACCGCACAGACGCTCCTTCCCCGCGGCCCTGCCTCTGCCTGCAAGGCCCAGCAGAGACATAAACGCTGGCCCGGTGTCCCCACACGGGACCCCAGGGTACTACTCTGGTGGTTCATGGCCTCTGCTGTTCCTGCTGCCAAGTATTCTGATACCACCCGACTGTAAAGAGGGGAGTCCAAGGCACACGAGAGGACACGGGCAGCGTGGTCCCCAGGTGCCCCTGGAAGCCTCGACTTTCCACCACGCAACCCCATGGTGCCCCTTCGCACACTGAGGACAAGCGTTGGTAAACAACTGGTGATTACTGAACGCCTGCGCCTCTGAAGTAAGGGGTTCTGTCTACCCACCAGGATATTTCCAGCAGGAAGGGGTCAGTGACAGGGTGGCAGGAAGAGGAGGAGACAGAGCAGAACACCCTCTAAGCCCGTGGCTGTGCAGGGAAGCCCTCCACCCAGGAGATCAGCTCAGAGGCCCGGGGGCTGCTCACCTGCAGGTAAAGGATGTTGTCTTTGGAAATGGCCTCCATCAAATCTTTGTGGAGGGTGGGCTCCGTCCGGCCTCTGGGAGAGCCCGGCTCGGCCTCGGGCGCCTCCCCGGGCCGCTGCCGGTAAAAGAGCACGTAGGCCGTGTCCTTAGGGAAGAAGGAGGTGACGTTGCTGACGGACTCGAAGGAGGAGAAGGACACCCGAGTGTCGTTGAACAGGTACCACTGGTTCTCGGGCTCGGGCCTGTCGGCAGCACCCACACACAGGGCCGGCCGGGCGGCGCCCTCGCGGGCGTAGCAGTAGTAGTGGCCGCTCTCCGAGGACACCCCCGAGTGCACGACGACGCTGCACAGGTCGTAGGCCTGGCCCCGGCCCCCCGCCAGCGGCAGGCGGAGCAGCAAGGGGACGGAGACGTCGTCCAGGATCTTGCGGCGGCGCATGGTGCGCAGGTCGAAGGAGAAGCGCAGCAGGGTGAGGATGAGGTAGCGCGGCCCCTGGCTCAGCTCCACCGCCTTCTCGGCGTCCTGCAGCGAGGCACAGGGCTCGCAGTGGTAGCGGTTCTCGGCCGTCAGCCTCTCGGGGGACAGGAAGTAGTTGACCAGGTCCAGCACGGAGCGGGAGCCCTCCCCGGCGGGGGCGGCGCCACCCGGGTGGGTCCCCGGCCCCGAGCTGTCCTCTTCCTTCTTCGCCGTCTCGGCCTCCTTCTCCTTCTCTGCCTTTTCTTCCTCCTCCTCTTCTTTCTCTTTCTCCTGTTCCTCCTCCTCCTCCTTCTCCTCCTCCTCCTCCCCCCGGGGCCTTTCCTCCTCCTGTGCTTCCTCCTCCCTCTCCACCTTCTCCTCCCCACTGCTCTCCCCCCCAGGTCCCTGGGGGCCCAGGCCTTCAATGTCCAGGACGGAGGGGGGTGCGTCCCCCGTGACACAGTGTTTCCTCTGCCTCCGAGGACCCACCCTGCTTGGAACCTGGGCTTGGGAGGGTGGTGGGGGGTCCCGGCCCCCAATGTCCTCTGCGGGGAGCATCACTGAGCCCAGGCGGCGGCGGCGACAGCGCTCAGTGGGGGGGAAAGCAAGAGAGAGGTCCGTGAAGGCCTCCTCTCTGGAGGAGACATTGAGGCAGCGGAGACAGCGTATCCGAGTCACGATCTTGCCTCCGAACATCTTCTCCACAGAGGTGGGACTTGGGCTGGGGGGCTCCTCGGGAGGGGAGGGCAAGCTGGACTGCTTGAGCTTTTGGCAGATCCTTGTCCCTGTTTTCTCCTCTTCGTGTAGCCTGGAGCAGACAGCACAGGGATTTCATACATACGCACAGATCCATTCTCAGCGCTCGGGTCTGATCTGGGCCACCTACCTTATCCAGGATCCACCCGTTTAGACGTGTGCGTGGGTCTGCAGAGTCTGCCCACACACGTGCCAATGACATCCACGCACATGCACTCACAAGCCAAGCACACCTCCCTCCAGACAGGCACACGAACCCACCACGTGGAGATGTGCCGCCTCTCCACGCGCGTGCCCCCAGCGCTGGGCTGAACACGCGCACACGCGCACTCGGCAAGCAGAGCACGTGCGCACGCTCGCCCTGACCCCTCCCCAGTCACGGCTCCAATCAGCAGCTCCCAAACGTCCCTCACACGCAGCCCCGGCCACCCCTCGCGGCAACCATCTCCACGCCTTCCTCGGGTGCAGTGGGGCAGCCGGAGAGATGGGCTATTCCTCAGGCACCCGCCTCCGGCTCCCAAGCCCCCACGCGGAGCCCGGTCCAGCCCCCTTACCGATCCAGCAGATACTTCAGATACTCTGAGCAGTCCTGCTGGGTGCCAGGGCTGAACCAGGGTGTCCAGGATGCAGAGAGGAAGTTCTCTGGAGAGATGGCAGGCCGCTAGGACCAAGGCAGGTGAAAGGCAGGGTCAGGAGCAGGAGGCCACTCACTAACCAGCTCTGCCACGTGCTAGGCCTAAGGGTACCTGGGGATTCTCTGTCCCAAACTTCCTGGCCTCCTCCCTAAAGTCCTCCCCATTCCTCGTTGTCCCTGACCCATCCTCTCCCACCAAGTCCATGCAGCCCATGAGCATGGCCTTAGGTTCGTGGAGATGAACAAATCCTCTTCCCCAACACACCTCTTTCTTTCCAGACCCTTATTCATTGCCATTCCCTCTGCCTAAAACACATTTCCTCCATCAAAAGCTTACAGAGTTCAAGACCCAGATGCACAGACACCTGTTCTGTGATGTCTTCCCAGTGGTCCCCTCCCCCACCATAATCAGCTTTTCCCTCCCTTGCATGCACACAACACTGCATTTCCTTCCGTTCAAGCATTACAATTGTTATTTGCAGGTCCACCCTCCCCACCAGACTATGAGCTCCATGAAAGCAAGAACTGTGGCTTCCTCCTTTTCCGTGGCCCCCGCAGAGCCTTGCATAATGCTTGGCCAAGGGTTTTAGGTTCCATGAGGGCAGAGACAATGAGCAAAACAAATACAGCCCTCAGGGTGCCTGGCAATGCAAGTGCTCAAAAAGGACAGCAGATGAGCAAAGCAACACCTAACGCAAGGGCATGAATCACGGACGGGAGAGACCTGGGCATCAGGACAAAGAAGGGGGTGCAAGGAAGCACTCCCTCTCCTGTCCCATAAGGCACTAAACGACCATGAACCCACGCCAGCCTCAACAGCTTACACCAGGAAGTAGGGCCTTGTAGCCAGATGCAGGGAAGGGTGTCAGCCCAGAGCCGCCCTCCATCACGCCCAACTCCCCCTGCACTCACCTGGCTGTGCTCCAGGAAGGCGAAGAGCCACTGCAGCTTGGTCATCAGGGGCTGGGAGTTGTTCTCAGTCAATCTGAGCACACAGTGTCTGAAGCTTCAAAATAAAGCAAAATCATCCAGGGTAAGCCAAGGGTATCCAAGGAGCCTCTACTCACCCGCAGCACTGGGAACCAGGGCATCCAGCCTCAAGGCACAACAGACGCTTAAAGCTCAGGCCTAGGCCAGAGGCCAGGGAAGAAGCGCAGGTGAACAACCCAGCCTGGACAATGAAGTGAGCCCTGCAGCTCGTTCCAGTTCAGAGAGCCCATGACCCTGAGACTCAAAGATTCCAACGTGCTGAGATCCTACGTTCTCAGAGCGGCGAGGCTGGAACTCTCTGGCATGTGCCAGTCTGCACTAGTATCATCCCCAGCCACTGCAGCTGTTCACACCCACCTCCTCTTTTCACACCCACCCAGCGCAGCAGGCCTTGCTTCAACCTGACCCCTCCAAGTTCGCTCTCACAGCCCCTTCTCAGGGCCCCCGCACCATGGCCCTAAGCCCACCTGAGTGGCTCCCCTGCCTTCGAATGAGAGAGGCAGGGGTCAATGTGAGAAGTGTGCGGCACAAAGAGGACACGGGGGTGTAGGGGGGAGGCGAACAGACGGGCTCCCAACAATGGAGTCTGATCCTGCTGGAGAAGGGAAGGAGCCCCTGCTGACACCCACGTTGCCTTGGAACCAGCCAATCCCCAGGCCTCACCTTAGCTCCTGTTCTCACAAGCAGCTCTAGGCGGCCAGGTCAGGCATCTTTCCAACCTGAGCCCACTGTGCAGAACAGCGTTACCAAAGTGTGCCCCCCCAGTCCCAGCCATCCGTCACAAAGGTTAAGTTCAGAAGCTGAGGGAGCGGTTAGGAACATGTACAGCAATGTGATGTCACTACAACCATATAAGCACGTGATTGTTCTTCTGGTAAGTGGTCTGACTGTATCTTACAAAAATTAACAGTCTGCAGCAGACTGTAAACTGGAAAACCAGGCCTTAACCAGGTCTGAGAACCACACACGTTAGGAAGTGCTAGAGATTTAGCTCCCCATACTAGACCTGAAGCTCAGAGAGGAGAAACCTACTTGAGGTCGTACCATAAGCCAGGGCAAAGCCTACCTGCTCTGTTACTTTTTTAAAAAGATGTCTAAGTGTGGTGTGGGTGAAAGATGAGTCAAATGGATCAAAAGAATATAACAGAGAGCCCAGAAATAGGACCCCACAGTGGGGGGGTCAACTGACCTTTGACAAAGTAGCAAAGGCAAAACAAGGGAGCAAAAAACAGTCTTGTCAACAAATGCTGCTGGAACATTTGGACATCCACATGAAAAACACACACACACCTAGACACATACCTCACACTCATCCCAAAAAATTAACTCAAGATGGATCATAGACCTAGATAGAAAATGCAAAACTATAAGATTCTCAGAAGGTAACATAGGAGAAAACCTCTTTGACCTTTGGTATGGTGATGCTTTTTTAGATGCAACACCAAAGACATGATCTGCAAAAATAATTCATAAGCTGGATTTCCTTAAAGTCTTCTGCTCTGTGAAAGAAAACATCCAGAGAATTAAAAGACAAGCCAGGGACTTGGAGAAAATATTTGCAAAAGACCCATCCGATAAAGGACTATTGTCCAAAATATACAAAGAATTCTTAAAACTCAATAATAATTATTGAAAACTAACCACCGATTTAAAAATGGGCCAAATACAGAGAGAGGGAGGGTCCAAGTTGATGGCATAGTGAGATCGGACTCCACAGACACACCCAATCCACAGCTACCTATGGATCCGTTCCCTCTGAAAAAGATCTGAAAACTAGAGGAACTGCTTTTCCACAACAATGGACAGGAGGACCACCCTGAGATGCCTAGGAGGGGTAGAGACAGGGTCTTGCAAAAAACCCCACCCGGGGGACAAAGACACACAACAGGGAGGGGCGTCCCCAGACAGGTGCTTCTGCCAGGGGAATCTGGCACCCCGGAGCCTGGGATCTGCACTGGAGAGAGAGGAGCCTCCAGAACATGTGACTGGCAAAACCAGGGGTCCTGAAATGCTCTAATAAACTGAGCTTCCGCGCTCCCCCCTGCCCCCCACCCCCTGGAGGGCTTGACCTGAGCTCCAGTAAAAAAAACCAAAAAAACAAAAACAGCAGTTTGCAAAGTGCCTACACTGTATGTCAGATCAATTTATTTGCTGATCTGGAGACACCAGCTGGAGGAGCAGGGGCAGCTGAGCAGCTCCCTGGTGACGGGGGCCCCAGGGGCTACCACCGTTGCGCCGCCCGCAGACGGCCAGCACGGGCAGGCGCGGTGGCCCGGGCCCCCACCCCCCACCACCTTGCTGGGACGGACAAGAGCAAGTGCGGTCACGGCGCCTGCTGGGTCGGACAGTGCCGGCGGTGGCAGGGTTCCCTGGCTGGGACTCACGCGCAGCAGTCACGGAGTTCTCGCCTTCCAGAGAGAGATTCTGCTCGTGCAGGCGGCTGCCACGGGCCCGGCCCCCAGAGCTGGCACGTGGGTGCAGACAGGGCGCTTTCCCACCGCTGCCGAAGCCCGAGGGCGCAGGCGGCCACGCCGCTTTCCTGCAGTCTCTCCGAAGCCAGCTTGTAAACAAGCCCAACCCCTCCATTCTGGCTGCCTTGCTCAAGCAAGTGGGTCCACACGGTCCACACAGGGGGTGCCCCTTGATCACCCGGCCCTGGTGGCCCAAGAGGGCTACTGTTAGCAAGCTCCGCAGAAAGCTCACACACAGAAAGACAATTCCTGGCAGGCCACCACCCCCAGGGCACTGCACGGACAAGACACTGAAACACACCCCGATTCTGCCTGTGAAAAGGCCAAATACTTAGCCTGGAGCATCAGCCTGAGGGACAGGCTTCAGGTTTCCCATCTATCTAGAGGCTGAGAGAGCACTCCCGGGGAACAGGAGCAAGGAGACGGATCTTGGCGCACACACTTTGCCTCACTCCAGCTGGAGGAAAGTCCCAGAAAGGGGCTTGTCCGGCACCCTGATTTTTAAAACTGTCGTCCAGGGAATACTTCCAGATCTGGTCCGGAGGCCAGCAGGGATTACTACTGCAGCAACATGGGACCAAGCATGTTCACATACTTCACAAGCTACTGCCTGAGAGTCTGGCTTCCCGTCACCTGAAATGAGGTGCTAAATGAGGATCCTTGGATCACCGACAGGTCTTGGCACGCACTCATATAGGGTCGAATCAATAGGAACATATGCAGAATAAATCAGGTGATTGAGAAAATCACAAAAGTTCAAGAGATAACCAAGAATGAGGGCAAGGGTGACCAAGAATCACCACCCACATACAAAAGGCCACACCTTCAAGACAAGGAGGTGGTTGTTCTGCCTAACACATAGCAACACACAGAGAGAGTCAAGCAAGATGAGGAGAGACCTGTGCTCCAAACAAAAGAACAAGACTAAGGGAGTCTGCTTCTCCCTCTCACTCTCCCTCTGCCCCTCCCCACTGCTCGTGCTCGCTTACTCTCTCTCTCTCAAATAAATAAAACTCTTTAAAAAAATTTTAAAAAAAGAACAAGACAAAACCTCAGAAAAAGACCTTAAGGATACAGAGATAAGTAATCTACCTGATAAAAAATGCAAATGAATGAGCATAAAGATGTTCACTGAACTTGGGGAAGGGGTGGGGGGTGGGGACTAGATGAACACGGTGAGAACTTCAACAACAACAAAACAGGGTGGTCAGAAAGTACCAAAAGGAAGTCACAGAGGTGAAGAACACAACAACTCAAATGAAAAATAGACTAGAGTGGCTCAACAGCAGAATGGATGAGGTTAAAGAAACCAGCAAGTGGGAAGACAAAGCAGTGGAACTCACCCAGACTGAACAGCAAAAACGAAACAGAATTTCAGAAGAATGAAGATACTCAAGACACCTTGGAGACAACATCAAGTGGAATCACATTCATGTTAGAGGGGTCCCAGTAGAAGAAAGAAAGGGCCGGGAAACATATCTGCAAAAACAGAGGCTGAAGACTTCCCTAACCTGGGGAAGGAAACAGACATCCAAGTGTAAAAAGCCCAGAGAGTTTCAAGTAAGATGAACCCAAAGACAGCCACAGGAAGAAACATTATCATTAACATGTCAAAAATTAAAGCATCTTAAAAGCGAGAGAAAAACAAATTTTTACATACAAAAAAATTTTAAAAAATAAAAATAAAACCCTTAAGGCTACTAGCAGCTTTCTCAGCAGAAATCTGACAAGCCAGATGAGAGTGGCGTGACATATTCAAAGTGCTGAAAGGAGAACCTTCCAACCGAGAATACTCTACACCCTGCAAGGTTATCATTCAAATTTGAAGGAGAGATAGAGTTTTAAAGACAAGCAAAAGCTAAGGGAATTCATCACTACTAAATAGGCCTTATGAAAAATATTAAACAGACTTCTTTAAGCTGAAAAGAAATGTCACTAATAACACAAAAAAAAAGCACAAAAGTAAAAATCTCACTGGAAAAGCTAAATACATAGTAAAGATAATGAATTAATCAGTTATAAAGGTACTAAGAAGGTTAAAAGGTAAAACTCACAAAATTAACTAAAACTGTAATAATTAGCTGATATATACATTAAAAAAAGATGTAAAAAGTGATATAAAAAACGTGAAACTAGGGAAGCACCTGGGTGGCTCAGTAGGTTAAGCACCCAACTCTTGGTCTCGGCTTGGGTTATGATCTCAGGGTTTGAGATCGAGCCCCGTGTCAAGCCCTGCATTGGGCTCTGCGCACAGCAAGGAGTCTGCTGGAGATTCTCTCCCTCCCCCAACCCCCTGTTTGCATGCACATGTGTTCTTGCTCTCTCTCAAAAAAACAAAAACATGAAACTAGGGAGGGGAGTAAAAATGTACTTTTCAAATGTGTTCAACCATTAGTTGCTATCAAATTAAAATAAAATGTTATTAGATAAATAGGATGATGTCTGTGAATATCACAGTAACCACAAACCAAAACTTACAGTAAATACACAAAGAAAATGAGAAAGGAATCTAACATACTATTTTAAAACATCATAAAACCACAAA